TTTCGATTCTGAATCATACAGAATAATATTCAGCTATTTCAGAACACTTAGAAAATGTTTCATTCCTTGCCATATCTTTTGGCTTCCTGAGTTTGTTTTTGTAAGTGCACATCTGGCAGCTAAAATCCAGCTGTTTGGGTGTCCCGGGGCAAGGTGTGGTATGTTGGCTGTGCCTCTTGGTGAGGGGTTCAGGAAGGCGTAGGACTTGTGCAGACCTCTGTGTGAGACACAAATCCTGCCTTGCTGCTCCCTGCCTCAGAGGTGAGGAGGGCTGGTGGCTGGGTTCCTGCTTTAACCCTATAACTGTTTTGAACTACAAGGTAATATGCAGTAAAGCAGTACAGCCTTGAGTCCCTCCTTCCCCATTTCCGTGTTTCTTAGAGTTGATGAGTGGGAATATAGAGAAATAAATTTCTACTTAATAATATCTGATGTCCAAGCTCTCAGAATGTGATTCCTTTTTCTGCTTAATTAACCAAGGTGCAGAAAGAGAATGAAATTACACTGAAATGCATTTCCTTCATCTCCATGCATACGTTTACAACCTGATTTGTAAAATAAAAAATAAACTTTTCAAAAGGTCTTGGAGCCTAGTAAAGTCAGTCTGATTTGCAAGAAGCAGGGAATGCTTTAAAATTCACTCTACTGACACAGATATTAATCTACATTAAATTGAGTCTAGCTAGTATAATTTCATAATGTGTATTAAAACCATGTTATGAAATGTCCACATTCTTACCTGACAAATGACTGCTAGCTTTGGGAATGCAAGCACATTTTGTGGTGTTTTATCTCTTTGGCACAGTCCTGCATTTATCCTTAAATGATCTTAAGTAATAGAGAAGCCTCCAAACACACGGTTGAACTTTGAAAGTTCCAGTGTCACATTCATTTGTTTTTTTTGAGTAGCTCTTCATGTGCAGGACCCCAAGTCCTGGTTCCAAACATGCTCAAGTTTTAAGCTCTTGGCCCCCAGATTTGGAACTAAGTATTGCTACATAATCTTTTCTCTATTAAATATAAACTACTTGTATTTTTGGATCATTTGAATCATTCAGAAATCTTTGCAGAAGATGAGAAGGAACTGTGGAAGGTAGTGGCTTGGTGGATTTGGGAAAGTGTTCAATTTGTACACAATCTTGTGTCTTTAAAGTTAGTGGGTTAGCCCAGCACCGTGAGTTTAGGAATGACTTAATAAATGTAAATCGTTTTCTAATAATGTTTATTTTTATCTATTATTTTAATATCAATTCTGACAGAATTTTCAATGCAATTTTCAAGTGTTTCCACAAAGAATATCTACTCTCTAAATGTAACTGTTTAAGTCTAATGGCAAGAATAGGGATGCAATTATATCAAACATGCCCTGAAGTTCTTGGTAACCTAACCATCAAATGCTGCTTCTGCTACAACTCTTTTCTTGTTGCTCTCTGGCCATAACACACCTCTGTGGCTTCATGCTTCACATTTGCTCTTCTAATACTCTTGTTAATGGCTTTTTTGTGTGTGTGTATGCGTGTGTGAACTCCAGCATACGTGTTCACTGGGAACTAATTCTGTGTGCTGCAAGAAACCCTAGCCAGGTAAGTCACAGCAGTTTTGAGACTGCTCTTTTGCTGGACTGATGTGTGCAATAAGGACATGTCACTCCTCTTTGTTGGCATATATTATTGCATTTACTGCCTTTATAGCCTGGCTCCCCAAAGCATTGTTTAAATACACAATAGCAGAGATGAAAGCAAACAGCTCGTGAAAAAGAAAAAAGGAAATCTCATGTAGTTGTTACTTTTTGGCACCATGTAATTAAACCATCTTTTTTAATGCTATTTTTTGCCAGTATCTAATTAGCAGAGCCATCTGCCTAAGGAGCACTGGACCATCTGTCTGAAAAGTAGTTCTGTTGTTTTTTTTTTGTTTTGTTTTGCTTTTTGTTTTTTTGGTCCTTGACTAATTAACTTCTTTTACTGTGAAATATAATAATACATTCTGCTTTTACACTTTAAAGGAGCGCATATACATAAATATATATGTATTTGCACTCACATACCCTATCCCTTATGTGTATCTAGCTAGCCATGTGAGCACAGTTATTCCAAGAAATCTGAGCGTGTAGTCAGTTACGTGTGTGATTTCCAGTGAAGAAGATGGAAGCCATGTGCTTTTTCTTTACCTGTAAGTAGAGCGAGTAGTTACCTTAACTTGTACATCAAACAGAAACTCTGACAGTCTCTTCATGATTATGTTCCTACATTGCAATTTTTCTCTCTAAATTTACATCAAAACAATTAAAGCTGTAAGTGTGTAAAGTGACTATATTGGATTTAACTGCTCATGGTTTGGATTTTTGTTTCTTCCGTTGTAATTTGTTATATTTTTGAAAAAACCTAGAACAATTTAGGTTGGGAGGGATCTCCAGATGAGTCTCGTGAGAACTATCTTGGTACATATTGACAGTTGCTTTGAAATGAGAGGGGGATTTGACTATCATTCACTGTTCCACACTTCACGCAGTTTTCTTTTGAATTTTTTGTAGGATAATTGAATAAGTCTGCTTAGATTGGAGGTTTATTTCAGTTTCCTTTGGAGCTAATTGCTTTTCATTTATGAAGGTTGCCCACTAAAGACAAAACAGATGACTTTGGAGCAAGATTTTGTCACTGATGCCAGCAAGGAATTTGTTGAAATATATTTACTCTTCTAAAATATGATTATTTTTAGTATTGTAATCTTTACATAAGACTTAATGGTGCTGAATGTGTATTTTTTCTTCATTTTGAAGATAATATTTTCATTATGTAGCTTGATTTGGAATTTGTTTCTTCTCTGGAATTTCTCTCTTTCCACAGTCCCTCAAAATTTTCATGGGGAGTTTCATCCTAAGTTTTGGAAGTGCCTTGCACACATTAGTTACGTAATGTCTGAAGACAGATAGAGTTTTTTACTACTGAGCTTGTACAAAGACATCTGACATCAGCTTGCTACAAGCATGACCTTGTAGCAAGCACACTTACACTTACTGTGTGTATTGCACCTGTTTTCCAGACAATATATTTTGCCAGAAGATGTCATCAGCAGCGTTTTCCCAGAAATACTGCCATTTGGTTAACTTGCAAACAGCCATATATTTAGTTGAAATCATTTATCATATTTGAGTATTGTAGGATGATATAATATTTCATATTCATCTTTTAATATATCCATTTCATGAGTGCCAGAGAAGGGGAAAAGAGTTTCCTACCAGTTCTGCTAATAACAGTGTTAGATATTTCCTGACCTGTTTGCTGCTGGCATTGCAGAGTTTTCTTGAATTACGTGGAAAGCCTGAAGTACTGCTACCTTTGGCTTCAGAGTTTCTCCTCCCCAAAGACTTTGGCCTTTCTCTCCAAAAAGCCTCAGCACGCAAGAAATGTCTTTAATTTGCTTGATTTATGACATTGTATACTTTTTGTCTTTTACATCTTTCTCCTTCAGACATTCCTTTCTCCTTCCTCTTTTGGCTTGGATTTCTGAGCCAAATGAAAGATGGCTATTTTGACTGAAAATAGATTTATTGATAAACATTTCACCTTCAGCTCAATCTTTATCTCTATTCCTGCTATTCATTGCCTGGCATATTTCTCTCATTTTGCTTTTGGCATGAACATTCCTTCAAACCTGCAATATAAGCATCCATGTTCCAGTAAATCTTTCTCCTCTGACCTCCTAATGCTCTAACATTTCTCCAAGCATTTGAACCTTCCGTTGAATTTAGAGATAACATATTTAGTGTCAGATATTTGCATTGCATGGCATGTGACATACAGATTCAGTGTGTCCTATTGGATTGGTTTGGGAACTGACTGGTCAGCCTCGAGCAGCCTTTTGCTGCATGTTTTGCTGCATGGAAATAAATTGCTTTTTGCATGAGAGTCAAAAGATTTGAGCCATTGTTGCCATTTATTTTGCCTTTTTATATTGTTGCAAGAGTATGAGATTTCTTTCATGTTGCTAGATGCAATTTGTTGTAAGTGTTACGGATGTTCATACATCAATTTTTCCAGAATTTTTCTGTGTCTCTCTGTGTGCTGTAGTCAGTAGTCTGCAAAAGCAAATGCTTTAGATAGCAAGGCTTTGGGTGGAGGAAGAGCAATAATGGTGTTAGTTTTATAAGGCTGTTTTTCTTGACATGTTAAAGCTCATTCTGGAGCTTGTTGAAAAGAAAATCAAAGCACTGCATAGGCATTTTCCTTTCTGTTTAAAGTCTTTCACGAGATTTTGTTAATTAACTACAGGGTCTACTTGCTATAAATAGAGTCCTTATTAAAAGGCAGGTACAAAAAATACCTATTCATATCTGAAATAATTGTTTTTCATGATTTCCTGGTGAAGATAAGTGGAAAAGCTGTGATTTCAGCTGTCAGGCAACAGTGGCTGGCTTAGAAATCTCAGTTCATCCTGATAAAAAAAGCAAACTGCTTTTTGGCGTTTTCACCCAAAGAGCACACAGATGAAGCCAAATAGCAGGCGGCTTGCAAATGCTCTCTGGTCCCACCATGTTTACAGGCAGCCAGGGATTGGAATATCGGCACCAAGCATACGACCTGCTCTGCTGAGCCGTAGCATTTGTAATCCATAGCTGTTGAATGTTAAATACAGAAATAATTGGGCTTAGCTCATGCACAGTGAAACTGTAGCAATGCAAACACATCTTACGGTCCTCGTTGAAGGCTGTGAAAGAAGAGTGGCAGCTCAGAAATGAGGGTAAATAGTATCAAATGTAGTCACATTTGCATGCATGCAGATGGAGATCACCAGCTTCACTTCATATAGGTCACTGAAAACCCCTCACCAGCAAAATTATTTTCTGAGGAAAAGAGGCTTAGATGCAAATGTAACTGGAATCAGCCCCAGTCAATGATGAGTTTGTACCCGAGGCCCATTGTTCAGGTGTGGGCTTGGGTATCTCCGAGTTTGCTCCACATGTGTTCCCCACATTTATAACTTATTTCTGTTGGTTATAGGCCGTGGAGTGGGGATGTGACGAAGCTACTAAAAGATCCTGCTACAGTAAAGGCAAATCAAAGGTAAGCCCATGACAGCTCTTTGGCATAAAAAAAAATACCATTTCAATAACAGCTATAACTCAGTGCTTTCCTCTATTTTTTGTACCCTTATTATGACCTGTTCCTTACTTGATATTTACTGAGGCTCTAATGAAAATAATATTCACTAACTCTGTAGACATGAGACTTGACATATTTTTAGTATTCCTACCCAAATCCTTACTTGATCAACTACAGTTTCTTTTATTCTGTACAGCAAATTGAAGTGCAATACAAAGATAGGTACTGTTTTGATGCTATGTTCTTCAGTGAATGTTCTGAACTGAAATTAATTATCAAAATAATTATGAAATCAGAAGTCCATGCAGTTAATTATTTTTTTGCTTAATAATTAAAATTGAGTCAAGTATAAAGAAGAAACCTAGAAATGCATAAAAAAGCACTAACTATAAAATGGAACCCTTGATTTCGCGACTCCTATTCAGTAGAACAGGCCAGAATGTGGTATTGATCCAAATTGACTCAAAAATCCAAAAAAGATACAAGCTTCAAATATACATTCCAAATGCTTCTATCACTGAGTAGAGTAGGGTTTTCTTCTGCCTCATCTGTTATATACTTGTAACCACTGACTTTTTAACCTCTCTATTCAAACATTTAATACCAATATTTCTTAGCAAATGTTGGAAAAAAATACTGCAGGGTAGCTCTGGTCTATCCACTTCCTTCTGAGAATGAAGAACAATGAGGCTTAATCTGTGACATGTGACCAAGCTATATTTTGAGGAAAGGAAAAGTCAGGATTATTTTGAGGGGTCGGGGAAGTAAATATAGTGAATGTTCATCATATATGAAAATTGTTTGCCTTTATGGAGGAGCAGCTTGCACTGGAGAAATGGGCTTGCAGTCCTGTGAAAATGCTTTAAGAATTGGCAGGTTAAGTAGGGAGCTTTTTTAACTTTTTTTTTTTTTTCTTCTTTTCCTCCAAAGCTGTTGCAGTTTAGGAAACAGTTATATAGCAGCTACTGGTTGCTACACGTTAGTGTGCAGGGTATACTAGGTGTATTATGAGTTACTTAAAGAAGGAATGAGTAAATTATACTTAAAGACTTGTAGCTCCAGAAGAAAATTTCATGATATATTTTATGCCTCTGTTTTACTATGTGGTTTTTGAAGTTTAAAGCTTTGAGAATGACATTCATGTCATGTCTGAAAGTCACAGTGCAGTGGCTGTAATCTAACTGGATGCATCTACTTTCAATACTATGTGTTCAGTACTATGTGTGATTTAATACCCAGATTCAATTCAACAACATAGAAGCATATATTTCTATTAAATAATTTTATTGGGATAAATACTTGACATGAAATTTGTGTAAGAATACTTATTAGTGTAGTACATAAGTAGGTTTTTTTTGTTCCTACTTATTGCATTCTTTTAAAAAAAAAAATGGATGGCTTCATAGCTGCCGTACAATAATACATATACTTTTTTAGTAAAGACTGCTAGTATTGTTTCATAGCATTAGATAAAGATTCAGTGTTTGATTTGGATCCATATCCTTGTTCCTCATTTATATCTAGAAGAAAAGTACCACCCTTTGGATTCTTGGGAGAAAGCAAGTCTTTGGTGATTGTTAGAGTAGGGTATTTTTTTGAATGGGCAGTCTTTGCTTAAGAACTATACAGTCCCTGAAATCCTTGTGTGGGAATTGCTGGAGAGCACAGAGAGAGAGGGTCAACTCTTGAGTTTTGAATTTTCTTTGTCACTTTTGCTTTCACTGAGGTGATCAAAATTAAAATGAAAAGACAAATTTAGCTTGAAAATGTTTCTGTCTTTTATTACATTATGTCTAAGATCAAAACAAGCTTATAAAAGAGGATATACTACTTAAAAGCCATGTTCTCTCTGTAAGGAGAACTTGTGCAGAACACCTTATCTATGATGTGCTTCCTCTTTTTGGTCAAGCTGGCCTTCTCATGGGAAAAAATGGGAATTAATGTCTTAGAAGGAATATGTTGCAGGGCTTGAGTTAATTGTGTGTCTATAGGGAGGCAAACACCCTGAAATCATAAGTTTGGATACAGCCTTAGTAATTTTTGAATAATTTTCAATATGGTCAGTTAAACACGTCTCTTTTTTTTTTCTTTTTTTTTTTCTTTCTTTTTTCTTTTTTTCCTCCTCAGAGAAGCTGCACTGAATTTTTGCCTCTAGCTGTTATCAATAGTTGCCATTCTGAGATTTAGAAGCCAAGGAGGGAAAAGAGTTGGAGAGGAAAACCTATAGGGACATCTATCACATTTGACAGTGTAATGCACACTTGACCTTCAAAGGCTGTTATTTGTTGCTTCAACTTCATACATTTATCCACCATAAGCAGCTACTTAAACTAACTGGTGGATGAAGGAGATGGATATAAGTGATGTCCTTGTGGCCAGCATTTAGAAACCTAAAACACCATACAGCTAAGAAAATAAGCTTGAGCATTTGGTCTGGCACTTGTGAAAGAAAGTATTACAAGGGAAAAATGTACATAAGGTGAAAAGTGAATCAATGAGAAATTGGAAAATAATTGAAGAATTTTCTTATTCAGGATGCTGACGGCTGTGTGCATCACCACGACAGCTTTTAATAAAATATACTAAAATAATGCAAATATATTTAAATGAAATGATATAATGTATAATATAATGAAATATATTTAAAATGTTAGTGTTATTCTACTGGAAAATATATTGCAATGGAGTCGAGATAAAATGCAGAATAAGGCTACAGAGAAGAGGGTCTTCAAACATAGCAGCATCCTACACTGTGAAAAGCCTTTGCTTTTAAAGTCTACTGAATTCATAAATGCCACTTTTATGGCACAGATTTCTATATATACAAAAATTGAACAACCGTAGCTGAGCATGGCCCCAGAGCTGGAAAACTCACTCTGAAAAACTCAAATGACTAAATAACTGGCTGCTTTTTCAGAATCTTTTGCGGTAGGGAATCAACTGCTTCATTCGTGGCTCTTTGTTTAATTTATTTTTTTTTATTCTTCCTTTGCTGTATGAAGAAAATATCTGATAGTTCAAGTAATGCTTTGTGTTTTGATTTTGTTATATGATAAAAATTTGACATGAGAAGTATTATTTACTCTATGAGTTGTTGCAAAGTTGGCTCAGAACTTGGGAACAGCGAAGAATCTTATGAATCCCAGGAATGTTGATGTTCAAAAAATGAGCATTATTTTTGAGCAGAAAGAGTGGGTGACCATTCTGCAATTAAGTTTGAAAAGGCACTGTTTCAGGGAGCTCTGGAAAATGAGGAGGAGACGTCTGCATTGCAATGCCAGAACCCACTGATTTTTCCTACACTTAGATTCCATGGCTTGCTGCAAAGGGCAGCAGGTGGCAAAAGCTCAAAAAAAAAAAAAAAAAGTATTATTTTATAGAAATGTCCTTGACTGTCCTTCTCACAAAAGAAAAAAACCAAAACCTTAATTCCTTTCTTGTGTAGTTAAAATAATTTGCATCAAGCAAAGTGTCCAGAATTGGCATACTATTTTCTTAAAAAGTTTTAGGCTTTTTTGTTTGTTCATCTGTTGGAGTTTTTTTGCACTGCCATACTCTGTCATATGGTAGTGTATTTTTTTTTCTGTATGATTGATATTTCTGAGTATCTTGCTTGTCAGTCTATTTTTGGGTGTTTGTTTTATTCAAGATTTTTTTTGTTGTTTTCCAAGATAAGAATCTGTATGCAAGATATGCAACACATTTATTGTAATTGTAGGCCAGAGGATGGAGCGTCTATGCTACTACAGTTATGTGGACTGAGCTGCACATTTGCACTTAATATCAGTTAGAATCATGTAGCTGAATTTTCAAAAGTTTTTATTGTTTTATCTGTGGCTGTCTTATGAATGAATGCTACATCGCACTTTAACAAATCATGCAAAGGGAAGGGCAACAAGTTTTTCTTAAAGCCTTTTGCTATTTTTTATTATTATATGAGAGAGGGGACATTTGCTTTTGCACGAGGAATTTTTACATCATTTCTTTAAACACTTTGGAGAGATTTTTAGTGTTCCATAAGGAAGGTACCTGTCTGATATTGCACTAGGTATTGCTGCTAGTGCCTAGCTTTTGAAATGAGACAAATTAAAGACACATGAAGTCTTCACACATTTTAATTGAGTGAAAAAAAGACATGTAAGGTCATTCCTGGGTGTGAACTTATATGTATTGAGGTGATGAAATTTTGGAGGTTTTCTTGAGATGTGTGTGTCTTGCATGTAATTCAGTATACTCCTAGTGTATTGGGCAAAGCATGAAACTAGCAATAATAGGTCTGCAACTGGACATCTCCTCTGCAAGTTTATTTGCAACAGTTTCAACTGTTTCAAGGGACAAATTGTTCTTTCTTCTATCTTCCTCTGAACTTTCTCCCCTGACCTGTCTTGGAAAACAGTCAGCTGGTACCTTGAGGCATCAGTATATTTTTCAGGCCATATACCTTACTTCAGAGCATAGCTAAACCTTTAAAATGCACATTTAGAAGATCTCCTCAGTACCAAAGAGTTTTATTGTGATGTCCACTGATAGCTTGTTTACATGGATTAATCATTTGGCATCTCTGCATGTCATGATTGATACCAATGTGGTTAAACTTAAGCCTTGCTCATGCGAATTTTCATGTGCAGGCACAAAGCCATGGAAAGCAGATGGTGACTGATCTCCCCTGTGCTGTAGAGTGTCCCTGAACTTGTGGTTTCTTTTTCTGCCCGGCAGGAGGAATGCCAGAACTATATTCGTGTGCTTCTTGTTGGAGGCAACCACCTCTTCACCTGTGGGACCAACGCATTCACTCCCATCTGCACCAACCGCACGGTACGAGTTAAACGTTGTCTCCCGCAAGTCCCCTCCATGTCCAAGATGAGCTCATCATGAGGCAGAACATGCCATGGTTGGGTCCAGGCTACTTCTGCAAATAGCCCTTTTTGGACATCATGTGTGTGCCCAAGAAAGGGAGCCTGACCACTATAATGAACACTATAATCAAAACATCACTGTTTGGGCTATGGTGACTCTTTATTTCAAGAGTAAAGAAAAATCTAAATACAGAAGATATATCTACCAAAAAAACTCCTTGGCACATTTACCTAATTAATTAATTAATCTCATCGCACCTTTATTTCCAAATAGCATAGTAGCATTATAGCGCAATGTGACTTTTTTTGAGTATTGGTAGCAAGTCAGAGAGACAGTTCCACTGAATTCAAAGCCGTTTTCTGAAGAATCGTTCTTTATTTGTGTTTCTTTCCTTAGGTGATTCTGGCAGACAGTTCTTGTTGTGTTTGTTTGCTTGTTTCTTAAGACAAGAAGCTAACCGTACATGTAGATTTTGGATTCTGTTTGCCTAAGAATAGGAGATTTTATAAGCAGGCTACTGCTAAATTATATGTGTTTTGCATATATGAATATATACACTTTGCATATATAAATACATACACATAATATGTATATTAATACTATCAGTTTAGTTAATTTTGGAGTTGCTTCTAACGCCAAACATTTTAGGCTTCTTAACTAATAATAAATTCTCCACCTAAAGTGGAAAAGAGAGATCAGTCAACAATACAATAAGACCTTCTGTTTCGGGTGTTTTCAGATAGATGTAAAGGTCAGCTCATTGCTATCACAAATAAGATGATATTGCAAAACAGGTAATAGGTGTGTGTGGTAGGATTTTGGCTCCTTGCATGAAATGCACCTTGGATGAAATTATAGTTTTCTTGTGATTTTTAATTTCTTTTTCTCTCCCTTTTAGTTAAGTAACTTGACAGAGATACATGACCAAATCAGTGGCATGGCTCGTTGTCCATACAGTCCCCAACACAACTCCACTGCTCTTCTCACTTCCAGTGGGGAGTTATATGCTGCTACAGCCATGGATTTTCCGGGAAGGGATCCTGCCATTTATCGCAGTTTGGGGGCCCTTCCTCCTCTCCGCACTGCACAGTACAACTCCAAGTGGCTGAATGGTGAGTGATGAATGCTTCATTTTGGTCCAAAAGGGATATTATCTGTCAATGTAGATGTAATAATTAACTTCAAAATTGTGATTTTTTTTTAGTTTGTTTGTTTGTGTGTTAATAAATTGAATCCATAATGTAAGTGGGAAGCTAGCACTGTAACAGTCATCCATATCCATTTCTTCCTTCATGTCTTCCAAGAAATCATGGATCAATTGCAACCATAGTGGTCTGGAAATCCAGTTTATAAAGCAGCGACGGACTTCATGCTGGCTTCTTTGATAATTATAATAATTTAATGTTTTATAATATGTATAGCATATAACAATTTATTATTAATATTATTATTAAAATATTATTTGAGCCAAAAAGAAGACGTGGCTTCATTCCTACAGAAAAAGATTTGAAATGAAACAGTGTGGAAGCTTTACTTTCAGGAGCGTAGCTGACAGAACTATTGCCGTCGGTGGATGCTCAGTGTTTACATTGTTGTGCAGCAAAATATAATTATAGCTGCAATTTGTAGAAATGCACACTTAGATATTTGCCAGCATAGTGAAGAACCATATTTACATCTTCCAGGTGTGGTACATGGAAAAGCTGAGTTGGCTTGAATGTTTTGTAGCTAAGTCCTTTGGAAACCAAAGGCAAAAATTAAACGTTTTAAAATAGACTGAATATTCCTGACTTTTCTCGATAGGTCCTAATCTTGACAAGAGGGAAAAAAAAAAAAAAAAAAAAGAAAAAACACCACTTGTGCTTTCAAGCTGCTTAAGTTGCAGATGAGCATTTCTGAAGAATGGGGACTAACATGTAACACCTAGCAAAGTCATGCTGCGGACATGCCTCCTATGTCAGGATATTAATCACCTCATGGAGATTTCCAGCTGGGAGAAACAGTAAACTGACAGGATCTACAGACATATAGCAGGACCACTTGCCAGCTAATTTATGTATTGCAAAGAAAGAAGAGATTTAGATTCTTTGAAAATGAAATTACCATTTAGTATAAAATGGAAAGTTGTCTATGTTATGATTTGCATTGTGCTAGTCCCACAAGAGAAAAAACAATTTTATAACTCCTGCTAAGTGACACTACGGTGACCATCAGGCCTTCTACTTCTACAGTGTGTTTTGTGTTATGATGAGATTTTTTTAATCAGATTTGAAATTGGAATATAAACCCCTTCTAACTTCAGAACATTAGATTGACTTCATTAAGATTGACTTTATGTCAAATATTTCAGTCCACATATATGGACTCATAGGTATCCGTGTTCAGGCAGCACTTATCCGCACAGGTATGGTATAGGAAGTAGTTGCTGTGCTGCACCTGGATACTTCTTTCACAGCGAAAATACTCTTTCTACAGCATTTTCATTTTAATTGGCTATGTCTTCTGTCAAAGGACACAATAACATTCCTACCCCCTCCTATCTCAAAACTGCTGTAATTTATAACATTGCCTATATTTACATTTTGTCTATTAAAAGCTTCAGCTACAGCTATAAATTTTCCATTAAACCTTCTTCTCCTGGCTCAGAAAAGAAAAAAAGCTTAGAATTAAGTTGCCAGGAGAGTGTGGATTTTATCTTTGGGAGGAAAAACAAGATGAGTTTTGTAATTGGCAGTAGTTCAAGGAAATCCAGCAAAAGACTAGAAGCAGCCCAAGTACCTGCACAAGGGGAAGAGCGGGTCTTCAGGGGGAACCTCATCCATTTTTAGCCCTACTTGCCTGCTCATACAGGACTCCCCTTTTGCCAAGAAACTGCATTAGTTTTCCAGTGCGTGAATTGAAGTGAAGACTCTTGTTGACTTTTGAGGAGAAAGGAGCATAAATAATTCTTGTCAGATAAATGAGACAGGTGGATCAGCGGGAAGGGGAGCATCCTACTCAATACCCATTAGGCAGTGGTAGGTGACAGTTGCTTTAATGTTACTGGGGTCTGTGTGTGTGTCTGTCTGTGAAGTGGTCTGTGCAGATATTCTATTTTTTTCCCAGTTAGATTTGCTGCTCCATAAATTACTTTGGACTGATGTAAATGGTCTGTGCAAGTGATGACAATGTTTTAAAATTCAGTATATAGCGACACTATTGTCTTAAAGGCTTGGGCAGTTCTCTCTTTGTGCACTGAAGGATTTTGAAAACCTCCAGTCCAAACAAGTGGATGTGCCTGTGTACTTTGGAGGTCTGCTGTCACCACTCATCACGTCTTGCAGTGAAGGATCTGTCAGTATGGAAGAAATCTTGTTCCTAATCTTAATTGCCAGAAGGTCGGTAGTTGCTGGAACTGTGATACATGCAATGGGAAGGTGAGACGGAGCTCTTGGATCACAGTGCTGGGGCTGAAGCCCATGTTCCATGCTGAGGATTTAATTTGTGAAATCACAAAGATCAGAAGTAGAAAAATTTGGATTGCTGTCCTAGCTGAGCCTCCAAGTTCATTCTGGATTAGCCAAAGTTGTGTGTTTACAATTAGGTCCTCTCTTCCATTGGACTTTTGATGGGTTTGGAAGTAGTCCATGGCATATCACTAGGCACATAAGCAGTGTTTTCAGCATACATGACTGAGCACCATTCACATCAGGTGTTTAACCTTAGTAGGGCATGAACTTGCATTGAACTTCTTGACTCATTGCACTTTAATTTCTGTATAATCATTTTTGTGATGCTCTCAACACTCAATTATCTGGTGTGATGAGGAGCTGGGATAGGTTGGATAAGAATATGAATTATTCAAAACACATGTAAAATTAAGCTGCAAGAATTTCCTGGGAGAGTATAACTAAGAGGAAAAAAAGGAAGTTCAGTAACGCAGTCGTATGAATAGTATCCAGATCCTGATCTAGCACAAATTGCAAAGGAACAGCACAGCAGGATTGTGCAAGCACAGTGCAAGAGCTTCCGAATATGCTGCTTTTATTCACCTGTATGATCACAGTATTCAAGTTTTGACTTGACTGAGTTTTGTCCGTTTCATCAGTTTTAATGACAGGCAGAACCTTTGGCCAGTTGTTACAGCTGTCTGCCCATCTCTTAAGGGTTTTTTAATGATTTTTAATTTCTTTTGGAATGCAAGTCATCATGCCTTCATTATTTCTAAATACATCTGACAATGTTTACTTTAGTACTTTCTTCCTTTCCTACAAAAAGAAACTAATACTGTAGTGACCGAGCTTATTTTCGTCTTCTCCTATAGGCAACACTGAATGCAGCTGACCAGATGCAGTGAGCAGATTTTTGATCGGTAGTGATTCTCCTCGTCTCTGTAAGATGCGGTTGGAGAACTAGACTTAACATTAGGACCTGAGGGTTCACCATAGTTCAGCAGTTTACAGATCTGTGTGCTCACTAGGGACTTATTGGCTGAAACTGAATTCACTCAACTGTCCTATATATTTTTTTTTCTCAACTCTGTCACTGTTTTCATCCAAAAGGATCCTGTTGCCCTGACCAGTTACCACCTGGTGCAGACTAGCAGCTGCCCACACTATGCTAAATCTGAAAACATGAAAAGGAGAAATCACCTCTCCCTCTTATGGGATCTTTATTCTTTTCCAATGTTTTGAAAGAAATAATGCTTGAAGTTACCCATATAAATATAGATAGATAGCTATAAATATAGATTAAAAGCTGAAGACAGAAACTGTGTGTCAGTAACTTGTTCTTTGAGATGTTTTCCCATAGCAGGTAATTCTGCTATGTACCCCTTTTCTGTTAGTCTATTTTTAAGTACTTTTGTGTTTGAGACAAATGATATCAGGTCATACAGCACACATTACACCTAAAGTAGACAGCTTTTCTGTTTATTTCTTGTCCTTGACCAGGATTATCGGTAAGACCTTGAGCTTCAGCCAGTTGCTCAGCTCAGTGAAGGGCAGCATGATTCTTGAACTTGTTAAAATCACCTTAGTCATATTTCATAAAATGAGTAGTCTGTCTAGTTTAGAACATATTAAATGATAGCAAATAAATCTTTCATTAATAAAAAAAGATATGCTTGATTTACAGCTAGCATGCTGTTTATTTGAGTCTGACTGCCAAAGTAACACAATTGTATTGCATCCAGAGCTATTTTAGTGTTGGCTTTGTTTTGGAGTTGATCTACAAGATGCAACAAGGGAGATATCATCACTATTTGGTCTGTTGGATAGAGTTAAACAGTTATATTTGTATTCCACCAACTCCAGTGGATTCAGATTGAGAGGAAAAAAAATTATTGTTTACACTTGAAAACTTTTTTTCTATTGCAGCATTTACAGGTAGCAGTGGCATTTCTGCTTTCAATTCACCTCCTTAAAGTCATGAGTGTTTGATTATGGTCAATGTTTATTTCAGTCTACAAGGGTCTCTTTGCTTTGTTCACACAATAAAAGGACAGAACAAGTTTAAGAAGAAAAATAAACTCAAGTTTTTTTCTTCCTACTTCATCATCCTGAGAAGTACCGGGAGATTTGGTTTCATTCTTTGTCAGATTCCTTTGCCAACAATTATGTATTAAGGCTGCTTGGGTTTCTACCTACTCTGAAATACATTTTTTTGGTTTCCTCATCTTAGACTTGTAATGGCAGATGTTTCTCACATGGAACATGGGAAATAAAAAATAAAATAAGTAAAAATTTCCCTTTAAGCATATAGCTGCTGTGGTTAGACCGTAGATGGTTAAAATGATGTCTTGTAACATATTCCCAAAAGGAAAAACAACAACAGTAGGAACATACAGACTAGAAGTTTGTCTAGTTAAGGAGACTATATTTGGGAATGTTCTGCTCTGCTGGTAGACATAATTTTATCACTTTTCCTTCTTGATGCTGTAGCTATTTAGTTCTTATCCAGTTTTAATAGTTTTTTTGAGAGCATTTTTAAAAGTATTTGACATATAACTTTCAGGCCCTGCAGGTAACAGTACAATCACCACCATGATGGCTTGGTTAGAGAGATTTAATACATCTCTGAATCCATTTCTGATTATGGTTTGTTAGTGCACTTTTATTATAACTCCTGCTGGTAGCTGGATGTGTGGAGAGAAATTATCAGCTAAAAACAAGATAGATTAATCCTTTCACTTTTACTTTTAGGGATTAATGGAAATGGTTGTAATAATTCAGGGTTATCCCCCTTTTATTTTTTTGAAAGAGCCTATAATTAGCTGTGATGAGCTTTTCTTATTATGTAATACTTTATATAACTCAAAAATAATGTGTTCTGGCAGTGTCTGGCAATGTGCAATTTTTTCTTCTGTTTTCAGATAAGAGACTTGATTGATATGTAAAGCATATATTACCAGTTGTCGCTTGTTTTGCAGGAAGATAAATAATTACTTTGCTTTAATTATGTCACCCCTAACCTTGATTCTGTTTCTTTGGGTGAATTGTCATCTTTGCCAGCAGCCTAAACTTAGATGGAAATACCCAGTGGATTTGGAATTTTGCTACCTGGCAAAATCTACATAAAGATTTTTTTTTCCTCTTTTATTTCTTTTTTTTTTCTTTCTTTTTTTCTGACTCCATAGTAAGCATTCAAACTGTGACCTCTTTTGATGGATGTGTGTAGCACATATTTCTGGAGGTTCTGAGGGCATGGAGATGGTCCTCAGTATTTGCCCCAGCCCTAGTGCTGCTGCACTAGGTGCCTCTCCAGTGAATGCAGGTAACCCAAAGTCCACTGAACTCCAGCAAGTAGCTCAGAATAGAGAAGGGCTCCCATTCCTGAATTTATACTACTGGCAAGTTTGCATAAACAAATTGATATTATAAATTGAACAATGTCATGCCAGGTATGAACACTTCCATCTTGAAAACCAAATAGATGTCTCTGCAATAAACAATGGATTATAAAACAGGAATTTTTTAATACTGTTTTGGAAAAACCCTTTGCAGAAAAGAAATAAATGTGTTTCAGAATTTATTAGAGTACATCAGTAAAATGTAATGAGTGCATCCACTTTTATGATTATAATGAATTGTATTTTAGAAGAATTTGCCAGCAATATTAAGAGAAGATAGGGAAGGAGAGAAGCCTGACAAATATTTTGAGTGTGTTTTGCAGTCCTTGTTCTTTCAAACTCATAAAATCTTAATTTAGCAAAAAAATGAAAGGAATATTAAAAAAATATACGAAGAGTTCAGGCACTGCAGGAAAAAGAGTGGTCAAAATAAATGTTACCTAGCCATAGTATGCCAGATTAGCATTTTAAGCATGTATCATAGTGATTATGAAATACAGAGTAAAAAGTAGTTATTAATAAGCAAGTTTCTTCCGCATTTATGTTGGGACTTCACTGTTCAACTCCTGAAGATGGACTTAACTATGATGACTACAAGTTATATATTACTTTACATGTGTTTAGCCTTGGAGGAAAAATTTACTCTAGGATTAAGATTTGCCCGTATATATTTATGAACAGCAATACCTGGGGTACCCTGAAACAAGGTTTGCACTGTTCTCCAACAGCTGGACTGCATTAATCTTAAAAAAAAAAAAAAAAACATATTGAGAGGGCAAAACCCAAATGGGGAATAGACTTCATTAACATTAGTAAGGTGAAAGAAAATAAAATTCACTAGCACTTTTGGTGCTTGAATTTCCATATTTTAGGCTTCAGCAAGAAGCAAAAGTCATTTTGTATCCTGTAGTAAAAATGAATGCAAGAAGAACTCCTCCATGTCAACAAACACCAGTTCACAGGCACAGTATTTGGAAATACAAACTAATTCTTCCTTAGACGATGATCTCTCTCCTTTTCTCCTTGAAACTTTGAAGTGATTCTGTTTGTTTTTCCCCAAGAGAGAATGAAATCAATAAAGTGTGACATGATAATCCCCCAATATCCTCCAAATTCCCCAAGGTAGCCCTGAGATTATTACATTTCATGCAAAAGGAAGCAGCTCTCACAAGTTTCAACAGCAGGTCCCATTTGCAGCATTGTGTAATCAGTGAAGCATGCTTGCAGGTGTTTGTAGATGTACGTATCATTTCTTGGATTTGAATCAGTGAAATATCAGTATTAGCTTTTGTTCAGACATGTATTGTGATTGTCAGTGCAATTTAAAATTATTACAGTACAGAAGATTGACATGGAATCATCCAAGGAATCTAAAAATGTTCTGAATGTATTTCATATCACTTTATTCCTACAGTTCATGTACATGTTATTCATAGTTCATAATTCTTCACACTTTGGGTACTATGAGTACCCAACTCAAAATCTTCAGTTTTTGACATTGGAGTGAGATTTTGTGACAATGTCGAGACCTTTTTATTTCAGCGAGCTACCAATGAGAAGAAGCGTCAGCTGGCCTGATTGACAGCGCTAAATCTAATGTGCTTAGTAGATCTGCAGAATTTTTTTGTAGGAGGCACAAATTGATGGTGAATGTTTGCTCAGTAAGTAGGAGGGTTTTTTAACTCATTCTATTCTATTCTAAATAGCTATTTTGAGTTATTTTCAAAGAGCTAGTATGGTTTTAGGCTATGAAACATCAAAGGCAGGTAGAAAATCTTTTTTTCCCTGCTATTGCAGGTGGCTTTTTTTTTTTTTTTTTTTTTTNTTTTTTTTTTTTTTTTTTTTTTTTTTTTTTTTCCCTCCCCATCTACTCTTAGTCAATTCTGCTTTAAATACTGTGGACAAGTAGCTCAAGTCACACTGAGACTGGGGAATTCCATTTCTTTCTTCAATGAGTGTAAAAGCTTTCTGAAAGAATATTACTCGTAGTAACGCAGAAAAGTAACACAGAACACATTTAGCCATTTTTCTCTTGATTTGTTATGGATATAAACTCAAGTTGCACAATGAGAGACAGAGGGCTCTTTTATTCATTAGCTTCATGCTCTTAAGGAGATTTACTTTTAGCATGTTTTATTTAAATAAATACTTTTGTTCAGTAGAATTCAAAACACTAAAATTTTGTGGAATTAATGAAGCATAATTAATATTTATAATAACTATATAGCTTTTCATGCTTTATAATATATATAGCTATCTGCTCATGCTATCTGTTGATATTTATTCACGTTTCATGAATTCCAAAGCTCTTTAGTCTAAATGTGATTAGTGTTATTTAAGAACATACATATGTCATTTCAGCATTAATAACTGTAAACATACACAGGGGCCATTAAAACATGTATCATTCTGCTACTACCTTGTCTGCATAGAAGCACATTTTTAGAGAAGAAAATTTTAACAAAGTTGAAAAGTAAGGTTTTTATTTCAGTTTCCTCTGCTTTAGTGTGCAATATGTGTATATGTAACAGTATTACATTTTATCTTTAAAAGAATAAGAACACATGAAGAGCTAAGAATTATTTCTACAGTTCTGTAAGCTCTAATAATTAAGTGGAAAGGTTTTGAAGCCTTTGAAGCAAAATTCCTATTGTAATGAAAATTTTACACACACATGGAATGAAAAGGTGAGGTTCACTTAGGGAAACCATTACTAATTAGTGTAAACTTGTCTTTCTTGCCATCACACATCTTGTTAAAATCTTCTTTCTTTGGGATTTTACTGCCCCTTGAGTACCAACTCCCAGGTAAATCCTTTGGGGGAGCCGAGTTTCAGGAAAATGGAGTGGGTTACAGACAAGCTCAAGGAAAACTAAGTAAACTGGTAACCTCGTTCCCCTCCCATATTTTGTCAAATTTCATGCCTTTCTAGGAGAAGTTTTGATTCAGTTGCAGCAGCTTTTTCAATAAAATGGTACTGTTATGACCTGTTTCCTTTGCTAATAAATGTTACATGTGACATCTACTAATAAATTCCTTTGGCTCTTTCTATTACAGTGGATAAGCATAATTAATTCAGGTTGGGTTGCTGGTCTTTTTGCATGTTAGAATGATAAGATTTGGAAATGAAAAAAAATACTAGTTTTGCAGGGCAAGCTGTGTTTTATCATGACCCTTCTGCTACTTTACAAGTCCATGTATTTAGCTTGCTTTTCATTTCAGAACTCATCAAGTTGTCAGTCTCTCCTACATTCATGAACTCTCTGGTTTTAGTAACCCTTATAGGAAAGAGGATATCAACTTGTTACCTGTTGTTTCCCATTTTTACTTTTCATCATCTTTTTGCTTGTGTGCATATGTGCACTGTATAATTTTTCCAGTATCACCATCATTTTTTTCATATTTTTCAAAATATGAAGATAAATAAAAGATATGGTAAAGCTATAAAAAATCAAAAAGTACCGAATTGGGGTTACTTTACTGTCCAATGCCAGCTCAGAAGTGTCTCTCTTTTCATTTAAGGGATCAGGCACACTCTTAGTCATACACAGTTGTTGGTTTTTCAGTTAATATGAAATAAAGGGGGTAGTGGCAAAGCAAAAACAGATTAACACAGCAGATAAATCAGTTGTTGGTTTTTCAGTTAATATGAAATAAAGGGGGTAGTGGCAAAGCAAAAACAGATTAACACAGCAGATAAATCACTTATCCTGTATGAATGCCTGAAATTGAGTCTAACTATCATGTTAATATGAGCACTTATGTTACTGGGAAACACTGCATAATTTTTTATTCAACTTTTTTCAACTTTTCAATATTTTTATTTTCAGAGCCAAATTTTGTGTCTTCTTATGACATTGGGAACTTTACCTACTTCTTCTTCCGCGAGAACGCAGTGGAGCATGACTGTGGGAAAACAGTCTTCTCTCGTGCTGCTCGAGTCTGTAAAAATGATATTGGTGGCAAGTTTGTGCTGGAGGATACTTGGACCACCTTCATGAAAGCTCGCCTCAACTGCTCTCGCCCTGGAGAAATTCCATTTTACTATAACGAACTACAGAGCACTTTCTTCCTGCCAGAACTGGACTTGATCTATGGGATTTTTACCACTAATGTGTAAGTAAATTCCATGATACATTGCATTTTGTTAAGGTTTATAACAGTAAAAATTAAAGCTTCTTTGCTGACTCTTCCAGTAGACGGAAAAGATACAAAGTAGACATGATAAATTCAAAAAACTGCTTTCTCCAATCCACTCTCCTTTTGTGAACACCCATCATTTCTAAATGCTTTGCATTAGATTATTGAAGGGATGCAAAAGAATGAAGAATTCTTAATATTTCCTTACAATGAGGGCATGATTGTGTTTAAGGTTATTTTCTCATCTTTTTTTTATATGTTATTCTAAATGTATGATATCCATTTCACGTATTATTATAAATAAGTATATAATTATGAAATATTATCATTACTGCAATTTGATCACATCAGTCTGACAAGTTCAAACATGTCACACTGGCCTATCTCAACAGAAAGTGAGAAATGCTCTTAAATATCCTGAGTTAGCCCTAATATATCCTACAGTGAGTCTGACAGTCAAATTTTTAATCTAATTTCAACTAAAGTCATTACGTCAACAAGATAAAATTCTATAATGTATAATTCAATCTTAAAATATAGCATTTAATTACCATTAAGGCATTGTGGATAGACATAAAACTTCCTTCACTCTGAACTTGTTAGCAGGAGTATTTTAAGTTTTAGAGAAAAAAAAAAAAGTTATTTGTGAAATTGTTCCTCCAATGATTGTTTGATATACTGTAAATCATTTTGGTAGGGAAAATCCCACAACCACCCCCTTTTCTGACAACAGAGATTGTGAGTGAGACTAAAACCAGCCCCATGTAAGTGTAGCTGTCTATTGCTTCTTAATGAAGCTGACTGTTTCTTTCAGACCATCAGAAGATTTATAAGCACAAGTCCTTTAAGGAAATTCAGGAAATTCAAGAAGATGGAATTTTTAATCATATGAGAGAATTTAATGATAGTTTATTTAGGAAAGATTTTATGAAATTCAATGTTAACTGATTCTGTAACATTTATTAACATGAAACTTCTGATTTTGGAGTGACAGAGGTTAGAAAACAAATCAGTCTTTTGTCTTGCTGATAAGTTCATACCACCCTACTGTATTTTCCTGGTAGATTTGATTCCCTGATATTATTTTATCTTTCCATCTATTTGGAGTGTGTCAATAGAAGGCCTTCTAAAGCCCTGTAGAATGTCCCAGGTCTTACTTGCAGTGCAAATTTGTGCAACTGCCTCCATCCCTTTATCACGTTTTGAAAAAGAATAATGCAGAAGGTCATTTTGGTATTGTATGCATTGTAAAAGAATTATTTCAGACTTTATTGTTAGCTGATCATATTGTAGCTTTTTTGGATCTGTTGAGAGTTATTTTAATACATTTTAGAACTCCCAAATACTGCAGTTTTTTGAAGTTTGATTTTCTCACAAAGTAAGTTTTCCATATTAAACATTCTCACAGTCATTTGATTGTATTATTTACACCATGCGGAATTATTTTACTGGCATCTAACATATTTTGAACACGAGAGCAGGAAATTGTTTTGCTTGGCACCTGCTTATTTCTCTAACCAGTGATCTTATAAAGTATGTGGTCCAGGTTATTTTCTCCTGAGATTTGCATTCTTATTGCTGCACAAGGTTATTTGGAAGATGTGCTTTTTTGTTCTGATGCCTTACCCAGCTTCCACAGGGTCTAGGGACATATCACAAGTCAACAAGCCTTACACTCCATACTCAGCTGATTGTATATTAATATTAATGACCTTAGAGAATAATCTCATCATCAACTTTGGAACTGGAAGAAAGATGTTCTTGATTATGCGTGTGATTATGTGTGGGAGTAAAATGTGGTCTTGTGGGATGAGAGCGGCAACAGAAGGAAAGAAATTCTGAGTTTCTCCAAATGCCAGCTATTTGACAAAAGTGACAAAAATTTTGTGTCCAAACTCTGTGCCTAAATCAGCATGTTATTTCCCTGAGATATCATCTTCTGTTTTATCATATCTATTTTGCTAATTACTTGAGGGAAAGGAGAGTTAACAAGAGAAAATATTGACGCACACACACATATAAATACATATGTGTATATATATATGTTTTCAGTAAATGAACTTCTTAATCCTCTTAATTAAGTTCATGTTTATATTTATCTTTCAGGAACAGCATAGCGGCCTCGGCAGTTTGTGTTTTCAACTTGAGTGCCATAACTCAAGCTTTTAATGGACCATTCAAATATCAGGAAAACTCTCGCTCTGCTTGGCTTCCATATCCCAATCCAAACCCTAATTTTCAGGTACAAGTATCTGGCAGTTGAGCGGTGGTATTCATGAGTTTCCTTCAGAATGTCCTGTGGTTTATAGTTAACAAGTTGACATTTCGTCATATTTAATCATACTTAATTTTATCCTACTACAACACTGCGTATTTTGAAAAGCAGATGTGCTTTGAAGGGTAGAAATATAAAGGTTCAACTTTGATCTTCTCTCAAAATGAAACAATATTATAGTCATATGCCAAGGTAATGTTAACTCTTGGCTGAAGAGTAATTAACTTTCTCTTCTCTTCTATGTTTTATTTGTGTTGTTAGGACTTGAAAAGGTAACTCTTTGGCACAGGAGAAGATACAAAAAGAAAAAAGAACACCCTTCCAATAAGCAGAAAAAGAAGTTGTAGGAATTGATAAATTTGCAAATTTGCCAGTGCAGAGTGGCCTGTACTCCTTGAAAGAACCTGATTAGAAGGATTTGTGGGATAGTCTGCCCCTCCTTTGAACTTGTCAACCTCTTGAGTGTGTCATCTTCTGAAGCTGGCTGACAGCATAAACCTAATTAGTCCAAGGAGGGTCAGTCAGGAGAACTTTCTACAAGGATGTCTCAAGGAAATGTGTGTGTGTATTTTTTTATTCTGCTTCATAATCATGCCTCCTACCAGGAAAGTTTTCATGAGAGTATGATTCCAACAAGAAAAATAGAAAGGAAAACAACATGAATTTAGTTAAAAACAATACCTTTCCGTCAAAATGCTGAAGTGCTGGTCATTCTTCCATGCTCTCTTCATCACTGGACACTTTCTTATGTTCAGCTGCCTTATAGCAGTGAATCCTGTGACAGCTTTGCCTCCCTTATTGGAAAGGTCATGAGATCTTTGCAGGCATGAAACCCAGTCTCCCGCAGTAGACTTGCCAGTAGTTTCAACTTTCTTTAGGGCTTTTGTGGTTTATGCGAACAAAGAGGAATAAAGCACTGAATCTGCTCCGAATTACCGGCCAGACCCCTGTTATATTTTGTAAACGCTCTTTGGCCTTATGCCCAAGTGAGAGAAAACTATTTAAGCAAGCTCTATTACAAAAATAGGCTATATTTTTATATAGATTTTTATATATTGTAGTAGTATTTGTATTGCCAGAAGTGTTGATAGCAGGAGGGTCAGATTGAGGCTACATTGTGGAAGAAGATGTCTACAGAAAGGCTTTTGCATAAAAAGTCTTCTCTTTCTTTCCAGCTGGATGACTAAGTCCAATAAAAATTCTACCGTGTGTCTGTAATTGTGTGAGCATCCTGTGTGGAACAGGACCTGGAGGGGAGGTGGAAGGCTCTGCTGTGGTGCCCATGCCTGTCCCTACCTCTTGGGCAAAGCAGAGAGGTGCATGGGGAATTTCTTGCTTGGATTGCTGACAGCTCCAAATGAGCATTCCAAATGGAAGCTTTTCTGCTTGATATATATTTAGAGATTTTTTTCCCCCTTTGATTATTTTTTTTTCCCTGGCCTGACGTGGGGCTCAAAGAACAAGTAACAATCTCTGCCTGTTTCCTCCCTCTTTATCCTCCAGTCTGTAGAAATTGGAGGAATTTTTGACATCGCATTGTAAAGTTATTTATTTGAGTTTTTCTTGGCATTTGTGAATTTGAATTCATCTGTTAGTCTCTAGCTGCAAATCTGGCAGTGTTACTCCAAAATAAGTGACAAAGTTTTACACATTGTATTTAGTCAATACTATCATTCATAACATCATGTAAGATTTAGGAAAATACATAAAATATGGTTAAAATGTATATCTTTTGCATGTCTTTCATATCCCTAACTTATTTGATAAAGCTTTAAGGTCCTATTTTACTTTTCTGATACAATAATATAGAAGTATCAGAGTATTATCTGTTCACATGAAGCTATCTTAGTGTCCTTTATGTAGCTGAAATATTAAATATGAAGATGCCAAATTAGTTGTCAAATGCTTTGCTTAATTTGTGCTTGGAAATTGTGCTTGCAATTACTAAATGTCTTCCTTTTAGAAATTAGTACAATTTTCTGTTATTTAATACAGCCAGTTCTAAAGTAAAATATATTTACTGTGGACCACACTTTATAGCTGGAACTCCACATCATCCATTGTTGGCTTAATGAACACAAAAAAAGCTTACAGACTGTAAGCATCATGTTTTAACCTGGGATTTCAGGCCCTGGCTGTAGTAAGACATGGGATTTTCTCTGAAAAACTGTCATGTCTTAGCACTCAGTGTAAAATAGTAAAGAAATCTAGCTGGAAAAAATCTGCAGTTTGCTGGCTGGTAGTTTTTCTCCTTTAGTGCTGCATCAGGAATTGGGGGGACTTCTTAGTTGCTCTGTAGACAATCTGCTTAGTTTTAAAATGAGACCTGAACTTGGAATACCACTGTATCACTACAAGATATACTGTTGATATTTATTTTCTTTTACTGTAAATTAGAGAGCAAATCTCTTGCTATCACATGTATTAACATTATTTCTCTGTGTTTACAGTGTGGCACCATGGACCAAGGTCTGTATGCTAATTTGACTGAGAGAAATCTCCAGGATGCTCAAAAATTCTTCTTAATGCATGAGGTGGTCCAACCCGTTACTCCCATCCCGTACTTCATGGAAGACAATAGCCGATTCTCCCACGTGGTGGTGGATGTGGTGCAGGGCAAGGACATGCTTTTCCATATCATGTACCTTGCCACAGGTAAGAGTGCTGTGTTGCAGAGCGTTGTAACAGATCATGAGTGGGTTCTGGGCTATGCACAACACCTAAAGTAAGTTTTTCCTCCCTAGCAGTGACAATTCTGCTATTATTAGCAGAGGAGGATAGATGGGCATTTTGCAAAGTGTTTGTTTGTATTGTGATCTACAGTATTGGTCTCCTTTCCCTCCATGCTTTGGAAAGGAAGAAGCTGATATGGTCTTATGGGAGCACAAACTTGGAAAATCCAGAAGCAGGAATTCACTGAGTTCCTCTGTCTTTTCATTTTTCTTCTTTTTATGGGATGTGATCTCATCCAGGATTCATAAGATGCTTCAGAATACTTTGAGATTGAAGAAAATCTAGCAAATACGATTGCTATTTCTCTGTCTTCTACTCACACATTTATTACATTTCCTTCTTATCTCAGTTTGTCATCATCCATTCTTACACATTTTTACCCTGTATTATTATTTATCCTTTTATTAGTAAGCTTAGCAATGAAAGAACAATAGACCTCTAGTTAACTTTTTCTTGATTGTAAGTATACTTGCTTGATTCAGAATTTCAATGAAATGTTTAAAAAATTCGGAGGGTTTCCCAGAACTATTTTTACAGAGTAGAATGTCCCTGACAAGCTGGGATCTTATTTCAAATATCTTAAGGTCATTCCCAAAAACTTAGTCCCTTGCATTTTAGTGGAAGATAATTCATCTAAGCAATGGTCTGCTAATACAAATATTTTTGTCTCATGGTGGCTAGACAACACTCATGGAAAATTTAGGGGAGAAAAATCTTGATTAATAAGAGGAAAAGAACCTTGAACAACTAGTCATTTAATCTGGCATTTTCAAAAATATCATCTATTCAATAGAAAGTGGATAAGTCATTTTAATTACTGAAATTAGAATTTATTAATGAAAATTGCCTCTTCCATTGCTTATTGTTTAAAGAAACTGAGAAAATGTGTGTTGTGTTCAGTACATAATTTCATTTTCTTTTGAAAGTGCAATACTCATTTCTGATAGAAGACTACTACTTTTTGAATCTGAATGAACTTTACAGTAACTTGCTATATTCATATGAAACAATATTTCCTGGCTGTTATCTTGGTGGATAAAGCTTTCTAATTATGCTTCTTGAAAGATAGGCAGTAAAATAGGTTTTAATAGGTTTTAAAAACTTTAATAGTTTTTAGTATGTTAAAGCTATGCTGGAGTTCGGTCAGCTATAATCAAAAAAACAAGCTAGCTGGAAAATTATGTCGTTTTACCTGAAATTGTGCCTCTACTGAAAGCTGTTTATATTGCAGAATTGTAACACACTGAATTACAGAAGCATATATTGAATTGACTTCATATAAAGACACTATGATTGCATTGTGGAACACTTACATTATGATAGCACCTAGAATAATGCAATTTTCCATAATTCTGATTGTTTTACCTTCCTATGTTTCCTTTAATATTCGATTAAAGGATGATTAAAGGAATAAGGAGCCAAAATTTTAGATTAGGTTCATTAGTAAATTGTGTTCAATAAAAGTTCTGAGTTCTTTTTATGCTTCTTTCTTGCTGTGGAAGCGATACAGGTTCTCATCCTTAGAGGTTTTCAAGAATAGACAGCAATCTGTTCTGAGGGCATAACTAGGCTGGACTCAAGACCTCCTGCTGTCCCTTTGGACTAGAATTATCCTACAATTCTCTGCCTGTGTGATGTGCTCATGCAATGTGGAAACCCATGGGACTAAGTTTCATGTTTACGCTGTGATAGTAGATGGTATTGTACTTTTTGGTGCCAGAAGGACAACTGCCATCCTATGTTCAACTATGAGATAAATCCTGGTATTAAGCAGTATGCACCTACTGGAATAAATCAGGAAGGATCCAAGCCCCTATTCTCTGTAGAATGTACTCTGCATAATATGTGCAGTTACAATTCATTATAGCATTCTTACAAAAAATATTACTTAAAATGAGACAAGCTTATTTACTGGGAAAGTAGGCGTATAGATTAGGTTGAATGCAAGTAGACACTCTGTAGTCATTGGTGTCTGAAGCAAAATCCACATTCTTTGAAGCAGAGGGACAGTAATTAAGAAAACATTCTCTTTCCTTCTCTTATGAACAGGTTAATGACCCAGCCAGTGTAAAAAGTATTTCAATTCTATTAAACTCTTAATATTATTTTAGGATAATATTATTTCAGGAGAGAATGGAAGTAAGCAAATAAATGCATAAATATGCTGTGTCAACAGCCTTCAAATTTTCTAAACATCTGCCAGGTCTGCTAGGAGAGTCTGATATGCTGGGATTTAGCAAATTCTGCTGGTGTCAGAAAACTATTTGACTACTTTGGAAGTGCATCTTAATGTTTCACTATACTGACTTCTAGTGCACAATGAAGTGATATATGAAGTCCTGCAGATCTACCTTGCTTTGAACAAGAACAGTGCTGTCGACTTTAGGCAGGCTATCTCTGAAACAATTTTCAAGGATTCAGAAAGGAAAGTCAAAGAAAACATTCAAAGAAGTTGTGAATTAAAAAGTCATCTCTAATAACAGGTTAGCAGTAGAATTGGATGGAGCAAAACTCAATTTTTCTGTCATCTTTTCAATTTTAAAAACTTTATTTCTTCTCATTAGAAAAAAAAAAAAAAAAAGGAGGGAGGTAGAGACAAAGAAAAGGCTGCTGTATATGTCATGTTTTGATTCCCTGTCCCTTTTCTCCATTTTCTTTCTTCGTTTTCTTTCTTGCTTTTAATTTTGTGCCTTGTTCATCCTCTGATATTTTCTAATTAAGAACTTTGTCAATAGCAAAAAGTTTTCATGGTATTTTTTCAGAAAATAAGTTCGTTTGGGCCAAATATTGAGAAAATATACTAAAAAAATCTTGAGAAAATATATGCCAGCTAGCCCTTTTTTAAAAGGCTGCTACAGATTGCATTGATTTTCTAGAACAAATAAGATTGGCATTTGTAGTTATGCCACCTAGCTTGAGAACATTCCAAAACCAGTTTCTAGTAGCTGATTCTTAAACCTGTTCTTGAGAGTTCAGAAAAAAAAAAATGTTTTGCACTATCTAGAGTTTAAAAAAGAAAAAAAAAAAAAGATGAAGATCACACTGAGAAAATGACTTGGTGGAGAACTCCCACATTGCCTCTGTTCTTCAGCCTCAGTAAACAGAGGCTGTGTCTTCCGTGTCCTGAATAGAAATGGTATCTGCCCAGTGGTGGGTCTTGGTTATGGGAATTTAGAGTTTACCAGCCTAGGGTATTGAGGTTAGAAATTAGGCTATGGTTAACCTGGAAAAAGGTAACTGAGAGCTCAAGAGAAGTTTGTTGGTGGCTAAATTGTTTTTCACTGAAGAGCAGATGGTTCTCTGAGCTGAACCTGAATTTTTATGTGGAAAAGCCAGTGGTAATTTGAGGACTTCAGTATGTCACAGCAGTTTTTAAACTTCCCTTTCCAAGGGAAGTTCCAGGGAATTCCAGGAAGTGTTCTTCTTGCCCCTCTATCAAGAACTCAAAGCCTAATGTAGCAATGCAAAGACTGATGATAAAAACAGTTGTGATAAAAACCATACAGCAGCAGTGATGGAGTGGAAAACCTTCCATGCAGAGACATCAAAAATCTCTCTTGGAGAAAGCAGATAGATTTTACGCACAGTTGCCCTTAGCAGGAGCAGTAAAACTACACAATTGTAGTATTTGCTAATGAAGCCTTGATGCTGTGGGTCACCATCCAGAGAGCAACCAGGAGTTAATTGATGCAAATTAGTGCAAGTTTTGATCACACTCTGCTTTTTGTTCTTTTTACTTCCATTTTCAATACACTGCTCTTTCTGCTCTGAAACAACCTAAGTGATTAATAAAAAAGAATAAATAAATATATATGTATATGCTGCAGGTGATTTTCTTGCTAAATAATATTGGATGAAATTTTGTCATTTTCCTGGAAGACTTCAGGTTTTGTTCAAAGGGTGCATCTTCCATTATTTAGTGTGCATAATGTCATAATACATGCAGTAAGTGTAAAGCTATGAATTTTAAAATATATGTTATGCTATGAATGTTAAAATGCAAAAAAAAAAAAAAAAAAAAAAAAGCCTTTATGCATTTTATCTTGAAGAGAGCAGCAAAGCTTAAATTGTCTGCAATTTTCCTAAGCAGGTGCCGTGTCTGACCAAAGTGTCCCTAGAGTGATGAGGTCATTGGAAGTAATTGGGAGATAATTTCTGTACAAAAAAAGCTCTAGACCTTTCCTCTTGATTTGAGAAGAACCTTTTTGTTCTGAAATCTGTACAATATAAATACAATAATACTAATGAACAAAATAGTCCTGACTTGGAAAACTGCTAGATAAGTTATTTGTGTGTATTAATGTTATCTAGTTCAAGAGCAGAACAGGAAGGAAAATCTGAGGGCAGACAGATAATGGAGCATGTACATTGAGGCAGGTAGTGGTCCCCTTGAAACTATTCAGCTTTTTCATTTTTTTTATTGCTGTTATCTGTTGTAGCATAGTGGCTTTTTTTTTCCCCCCCCCCATACACTTGTCCTTCACAAAAGCATACTGTGTAAAGACACAGCTATAAAGCAACCTGGCAATGTTATTAGTACTAATCTGTAACATCGTACCCTTCTGACCTTTCTACATATCATCTTTAGACAGAGGCCTCTAGGTCCTGCTTTTAAAGGCTCTTTTCTGAGATTTGAAATGAGTACAGTCATCATTTGCTCTACAGTCTTTGAATGGAGCACATTGAGGACACTGATCAAAACAGCCACAATGTGATTTTTTTATTCTGTGATTGTCTCACAGTGACCACTACATTGATAAAGGGAAAGTTTAGCTTTATATGATATGAATAAGCTGTTTAAATAATATTACCAGGAAATGTTTTCCTGCAAAGTTTTATAAGAGTTGCATCATTTCAATTTGAAACTTCACTTTGAACTCATAATGTTCACTTTGGGATTTATGCTAATGTGCTAATCATGC